TCTTCTCTTGATGTTTCCTGCATCATTCAATATTTTGCCCATAGAATCTCTCAATATTGCAACTCGAGGCTTAAATTTTTTTTTCAATTCTTTCAGTTTGAGAAATGCTGAACGTGTTCTTCCTTTTTGGTTTTCAGACTCCAGGTCTTTGCACATTTCATTATAGTAATTGGCTTTGTATTATACTATTATTCTAATCATAACATAATTCTTATTCAATGCAATCACTGCAAAATATAATTATACTTAAATTCTAACAATTTATTACTTATAAACTGGTGATTATTCTTTTACCAACTACAAATATCAAACTCACTGAGTAAAGTGCACCAAACAGTGAGTGTTATATGACTCACCTGAAGTCCCACGTATTTTGCCATTATTTGCAAAGCCAATGACATTCAAAACCATGCCATTTGACCTCTCATTACATTAAATAACGAAATTTTTCCTCCCTTCTCACTCCAATTTGGTTCCCCACATATACTACAGTGCATTGTTTCTATAAACTTTCAATTTCAATTTTTTTCTGGCTTAATCTAACTTCTTTACTTTATCTGATCTCTTTTTACCTTGTACTTTGGGACAAACTAACCATTCTATTCCTTTTTATCAACTGCCAGGCCCATCATTACACTGTCTCCTAGGGGGGAAAAAAATCCTAATAAAAAATTAGTAAGAATAGACAGAGTTTATACTTTGTGTAAATAAATATTTTTCCAGAGTTATAGCAAGTATCAAAGCTGTGTCATAAAATTTTCTTCTACTTCAAAAGGACTAAGAACAGTATCTTTTCTAATACTCAAAAGATGAATTCAGTTTATCATGTATATTCATTTACTTTTGTTTTTAGCTCTTCCTCACTCGTAATGACTACTTTTGTAGAGGTAATGCCTTCCTTTGTGACTCTACTTTGATTTACATGGTGGAGTCTGTGGACAAACCACTTAGGTACACTTCTAGACTGGGTCACATGAGTATTATTAATAGCATCAATTCCAAAGTACAGATGCAAAATACAGAGGACACAGAATTTCATCAGATACCTAAAATTTTTCGCATGAAGACACTATTTCTAATTTTCCTCACCATTTTTTTTTAAACTGTTTACCACAAGCATAGGAGCTCTGGTAGCATAGTGGCTAAAGCACTTGACTGCTAACCAGAAGGCTGGCGGTTCAAACCCACCAGCCACTCCTCGGAAGGAAGGTTGGGCAATCCTACTTCCGTAGTGATACTGCCTCGGAAACCCAAGGAGGGGTCGCTATGAGTCGGGGCCGACTTGACGGCACATAACAACAACAACAACAACCACAAGCATTACTTATAAGACTAACAAACATTCCCTTGGGTAGAAGCCTGACATTACAAATGCTATTTAACTCAAAAGATCGTTTTCAGTCTGAAAACAATTTGGAAAAACATAAACATTCCATTTATTTGAATAAGCATTTACCAAAAAGTAAAGGCCATTAACAAGGGCATTCATAGTTCAGTAGTAGAATTCTCACCTCCTACACAGGAGAACTGGATTCAATTCCTGACCAATGCATCTTATGTGCAGCCACCACCCACCTAAGACAGACTAGGAAGAGAGGTCTGGCAATGTACTTCCAATAATATGCCAGTGAAAACCATATGGATTACAATGGTATGATATACAATCAATCACGGGGATAAAGCAGGATCAGGCAGTGTTTCATTCTGTTATGTATAGGGTTACCATGAGTAGAGGGTGGATTCAACAGCCGCTAACAACAAAAGTCATGTAAAACCTTTGTATTCTTCAAGTTCCATTATTCTCAATATAATGGAAGCTCAGAAGACATTTAATATCACTGTTGGAATAATTATTTTTATGTATCTGCATATTACCTACCTGGTGAAAATCTCAAAAGTATATAGAAAAATATCTAAAACTCAGTCTATTTGCAATTAACACAGTATTAATAATGAAAATAAGTAAATTCTATTTTCCAACAGAAATTACTGTGTATAAGAGAAAAAAAAATACTGGGAGAATTCATGTCCTAAAAAGGGAACGGTAATCAAATAGTTAACTGAGGTTCGCTTATTCCCAACTCCAACTATCCAGCATGATTTCTAAAGTAGGAAACAAAAAACTCAGAGTCGCAGAGATGTTACAAAAGCCTAACATATTCTACTCCACAGTATACCAAAAAGACATTTTCAGCTGAAATAAAGACAAAATCAACTGTCAAATGCGCATACTAGTCATTTGAAAGGGATCTGAAAGTAATCTAGTCCAAAGCTATGTGAGGATTCATAGTCAGGGGTAGATAATCCAATAAGCAAGGTAAGCATGGGCTACTTACTAATCCAAATTGTTTCACCACAAAATACATGTGAAACTGTCTACTACAGATTAATAGTAAGTAAGCACAACTAACCGTGTGCTTACCTTGCTTACTGGTACTCTGTCCTTGTTAGGGATTATAAATTTGAAAAGGCTTTGTGATTCTTTAATAAGATGCTGTGGGGTTGAGAGAGAGACAGTGCCAGAATCTTTGATGTGGTAGAAGATTAGTAAGTAAATATAAGTAAGACCATGCTCACCTTGCCTTTTGGGTATTCCAATACTGGTTTACTACACAGAGTACAATAATTTTTGTTCATGGAGCATTAACCAATAAAAAAGACTTGTGCTATGTAAGCATTTAAAAAAGCTTTCTACTTAAAACACAAGATGATTGCTTTAATAATTTGCAAAACTTAGTTATGTTGAATAAGTCATACCTAAATATTCAATATAGGAGCTCTGGTAGCATAGTGGCTAAAGCACTTGACTGCTAACCAGAAGGCTGGCGGTTCAAACCCACCAGCCACTCCTGGGAAGGAAGGTTGGGCAATCCTACTTCCATAGTAATACTGCCTCAGAAACGCAAAGAGGGGTCGCTATGAGTCGGGGCCGACTCGACGGCACATAACAACAACAACAAACAATAAATATTCAATATATGTGAGATGCTTCCAAATAAAACACTACCATGCCTCAAGAAACTCTCTTTCTCACACTTCTCCAGCTATTTGTGGCTGTTCTTCAAACCTGCACAGTCCATGAAGAACATGGCTTTATCTCTTTTACAAAAGATTATGGACACAAAGGCAGAAAAACTAGTAGTATCTAATTCTTTACTCAAAGAGCTCTGGTGGTGCTGTGTAGTTAAAAAATGGGGTTGCTAAAAAAGGTCAGTGGTTGGAACTCACCAGCTGCTCCATATGAGAAAGATGAGGCAGTCTTCTTCCATAAAGATTTACATCCTTGGAAACCCTGTAGGGCAGCTCTAACCTGTTCTATAGGGTCACTATGAGTTGGAATCAGTGAGTTAGGTCTGAATTATTTCCTCACTGCTTTCTAATTGATGAACTGATACCACATACACTCATTGGTACCAGATCCTCAGATTCATAATGAGAAGCCTAAGTACAGATTTTACATAAATATTCTAATTGTTTAAGATGATTGAACTGGCCAAAAAAAAATTTGTGACTCAGATTTAGAATAAAAATCAGAAGTTTACAAACTACCAAGTTAGAAAAAAATGAATCTGTACTATATTTGAAGAATACAAAATTCCTAGCTATACAAAGCTCGATCCTACTCAAATCTTCCTTAATTTACAGTACTGAATATTCACTTGTTAAATATTCTACTTAGTTTTTCCCTCTCTCACTAAATCCATTAAGAATGTTTCTAAAACAAAATACTTTGAACTTCCCACATAAGCAAGTATTTCTTTCTACATAATGTTTCCTTTATAAAAAACATACTTCATCTATGTTGTTGTTGCTGTTATGTGCTGTCGAGTCGGACCCGACTCACAGCAACCCCGCCCTTGGGTTTCCAAGGCAGTATCTCTACAGAAATAGATCGCCAACCTTCCTTCCAAAGAGTGGCTGGTGGGTTTGAACCGCCAGTCTTCACCTCATACATACTTCAAACCAAATGACTTACTTAAAAATGGTAAGAAATACATGTAACAAATCCAGAGGAAAAAGAGAGCGAGCAAGCAAGAACACAGAACAGTCTGAGGATGAATTCACAGCAGCCTCACCTGTACTTTCATGGGCAGTCAAACATTGCATCCATTTCTTTTTCCCCAGAGAAAAGAAGCATTCAGAAGAAAAGCAAGTCAGATGATAGTCTAACTCCTCTAGCCTTTTTTTACAACTAACAGGACAAATGTTATCAAGTAGAAATTATAGAAAATATACTTACCTGGACTTGAAGACTCAACAGATGGCTAAAGGGGAGGAAAAAAAGAAACATTAGCATTTTTATATAGTAAATATTTGTAACTATTACAAGAACAATTCAAAGACTAATATAACACCAAACACTATGAGTTTCTTTTAAAGTCTGAATTGCCTAAGACAAACTAAAACTTCCTATACAATCCTTTCCACAACATTATATTTAAACAGAGACAATTTCAAACAAACTCCTGAATTGAAGTGGGAGGGAAAGAGGGCCACTGTTTAAGAAGGAAGCATTGAGTTTCTGTTTATGGTGATGGAAAATATGGCAAAGGATATCAGAGATGTTTGCACAATCTGATTAATGTAATTGATGTCACTAAATAGTACATGTGAAAAACATTTAATTGGCATATGTGTGTTACATTTTTCCCAAAACAATAATAAACAAACAAAAAACACTCTTCCATCTGGAAACAAAGACAATAAAATGGTATTGGTTCAGATTTTCAAGGCAAATATGGATCTCATGAAATACGTGGTTTAAAAGGTATCATTTTAGTCTTGGAATTTTCTGTAATAGATTCTCTCCTATTAATACACAGAAAATCATGAACAAGGTTTACTATAAAGCTGACCTCTGGCTTAAAATATGTGTGCAAAAGGAGGAGGTAACTAATTTAAGACATACTTTCAAATAAAAATTACCTTGCAAGAAAGCAGAAGGAAAAATTAAAATGTTACTTAAGAACCAAAAAATTCACTGGGTTAACCCTACTATTAAACAACATACTTTTAAGTTATCACAGAATGAGCACCCTTTCGAGCAAAGTCTAGAAAGGTTATGTCATCTGATGGAAGATCACACAGACTAGCAATTATAATCTCCTTCTACTGTTCCATTCTACCTTTCATAAATTTAATCACAAGGACCTAGAAAATTTTAAGATAAAATTGGTAGCAACTTATTTTAGCCATGTCACCACCAGATGACAGTTTACATCTGTCTAAATTCAGTTAATTCACAATAATAAACAAGTCATCCACAAACTCCTAGAAGACAACGTCAAAAGATGTTTCAAATGACAAGAACTTTGCCACTAAAATCTTGCCTATTCATTTAGAATGATCTATTTCACAACCGTTAGAAAATGGAGATGGTGGAAGGTAAGAAGTACTAACAAAGAAAGCTATGGATACTATATTATTTTCCTTCTTTCAACTAAGTAACAGGGCCAAGAAGAAGAACAAAAAAAAAAAATCAGCACATTTCTAAGATAATTCTTATAAGGTATTAAAATTCCATTTGAAAACGGTCCACATTATGCTTTTGCAGTAAATATGCTATTCCAGATTCCACATAGTGACTTAAATTCTTTTGAGACTTGTTTTTTCAAGGGTCCCATTTTTCCCTTTGTTGTTTGTTGTTGTTATGTGCCATCAAGTGGGACCCAACTCATAGCAACCCCTCCTTGGGTTTCCAAGGCAGTATCACCACAGAAGTAGATTGCCCCATCTTCCTTCCGAGGAGTGGCTGGTGGGTTTTTTCCCTTGGAATTCTTAAAAGGGAATGGTTGTTGCCTTTTTGTCTTTCTAACAAAAGACCCAATATTACATATTTCCAGTGTCCTATCACTATCATTATTTATAAATTCTTGTTCCAAAAGTCAATATAGTACTGCTACTTTTTAATTGGGGATCTCTGGTGGCATAGTGCCTAAGGCATTTGACTGCTAACCAGAAGGTTGGTGGTTCAAACCCACTAGCCACTCCTTAGAGGAAGGTTGGGCAATCTACTTCTGTAGTGATACTGCCTCGGAAACCCAAGGAGGGGTCACTATGAGTCGGCTCCTCTAATGGAAAGCTGGAAAATAGGGTGACACAGACAGATTTCCAGCTTGCTTAACATTTTTTGAACAGCGTTAACATTATTTCTGGCTCAAAATGGATTTAACCACCACACAAATTACTACAATGCAAATCAATCTTTTAAAATATTAACCCACTTGTGTTTCATGTACTTATCCTTTATTTCCCAAGTGTAAGTACTTCTGTGTAAGGCTACAGCTATGTTAATAACTATTTTTATCTGGTTCATTATCCACAGAGTAGACGTCTTAGCTTTAAAACAGATTTGCATGGCATTCACAAGAAAAACCAGCATTTCTTACAAATTAGTTTAAATGAAATGGTTCTTTGAGCATTTAATTATTTTTGAACATTCCAATATTATTATTCCATTTAACAGGTTTCTGATTTTAAAAAAAGACTTTCTGAGAAATAAAAATGTTATTCTACTTGAGGAAAGGTACTTTTTCACTGTTAGTTACTGACAATAATAGATATTGAATTACGAATAGAGTCTGCGAATTTTAGTTTGTAAAAGGCCTAAATAGCACTAAATGCCAAAAAATACCATACTAATTGTTTTCCTGGGAAATAGTAATGACCTTAAAGTTCTGAAAAAGGCCTCAAACACTTTCCATTCATTAAAATAGTGAATGTTTAGAACACTGGTAGCATCTATAAGTCTAACTGGCCTGACATAGAACACCTAGTATATTAACGATCATATTATGGCAGACATACCGAAATGTTTCAAGGACTAGGATTTAGCTTGTAGTATATTTACATTCTTGCCTGCTAACCAGACGGCTGGCGGTTCAAACCCACCAGCCACTCCTCGGAAGGAAGGTTGGGCAATCCTACTTCCATAGTGATACTGCCTCGGAAACCCAAGGAGGGGTCTCTATGAGTCGGGCCAACTCGAGGGCACATAACAACAACAACACAACAACATATTTACATTAAAAGGAGCACTGGTAGTGCAGTGGCTAAGCGCTTGGCTGTTAACCAAAAGGTGGGTGGTTTAAACCCACCAGCCGCTCTATGGGAGAAAGATGTGGCAGTCAGCGTGTCTAAAAATTACAGCCTTGGAAATCCTATAGAGCAGTACTACTCTGTCCTATACGGTGGCTATGAGCTGGAACTGACAGGCAGTGGGTTTTTGGTATCTTGAAATTAACATGGGGGAGGGGAAGTATTTATGTTCAGAATAAAATTCCATTGTTTAAATTTCTGGGGGGAGGGGGATCAGTCTTCAAAATTAATTATATCCAATTAAATAAATCAAAGATCAGCTTCTGGAAATCTGACCTCTGAAAACAGTTCATATACTAAACATTATTTTGCTCAGCTAATAAACATAATGACTATTTCTCTAGGTAAAACATGCATTTAGCATCATAATACAGAGACTTCAGTGTGGAATGAAAGCATTTATTGAAGTGTAAAAGAGAACAGTAGAACCAGCTTACATGCTATACTTTTCCAAATGTATGAGAATATAGCCACTTGATCACAACTATAAATTTGGCAACAATACCTGCCTCATCTACCTCATTGTATAGAATAGTAGTAAACCCAGGGAGATAAAGTGACTTGACCAAGTTTCCATGTTAGGTGGTAAAGGCAGAACTGAAACCTACAATACATGACTCAGTACCCCTTTTATACCTCCCAGAAAAACAATGTAAAAATTTTCTTTCTTTCCTTACATCTTGCTCTTCCTTCCCCCTTACCCCTCTCATTTCTTTTTTAATGGCTTTCCTATGTTCAAAGTATGTTTAAGATGTGCCAAGTTATCATCTATCATGCCAGACTGTTATTCATGTCTCTTTAGGAACTGGTATCTCTAACAATACCTTCCAAAATCTGCAGCCAACTACCATTAATTACTACCAGAAATGGAGAAAGTGGAACGAGGGAAGGGAAAACAACCAAACTAAACCAAAGCTAAATCAATACTTATTTATAACAATTTTTTGTAACTTGCTTAACAAAAATGTTCTGAAAATTTGTTTTCAGAAAAAGCTCAAACTATACAATATAAACAGTAAAGAAGATTTAACATGTGGGATGAAAATGTATTTAAAATACATTCCGACATTACTTGCAATAAGAGGAAGTGACGTAACCATTCTGGAGATCATATTGGCAACATGAATCTATCCTAATATATCTAAAACAATCCAAAAATTACATTAAATTTTTTAAACTTGTAGTAAAAACATTTTACTGCAATGTTGATTGTAGTAAAAAGTTGGAAAAAATGCAAAAATCCATCAATTAGTTATGAAATACAGTTTTCCTAAGCAAGGGAACACCACAAATCCATTAAAAAGGAGGAGGAGTATCTGTGTTGATAGAGAAAAAAATACTAAAGATATATTAGGAGTTAAAAATAAAGTGCAGAACAAGGAATAAGTTGGGCTGGCTTATGTATAAAAATTTTCCCAAAAGGAAATACAAGAATCTGTTAACAATGTACACCTACATGGAACAGCCAAGGAGAAAAGGCTTTTTCATTTTATCCTTTTCTGTACACTGCTAGAATTTTTAAATTATTTGCTTGCATGCATCACTTTTTAAAAAGAAAGTCATTGAGGGTTATCTTGTGGAATTATGAGCCATTTTCATTTTCTTCCTTTTTGATTTTTTAAGAAAACCTAGTGTTTGGTATCATTTTAATAAAAATCTTTAAATTTGAAAATTTACCTAGTTTTCTATTTAAAACAAACCAAACCTATTGCCGCTAAATCAATTCCAACTAACAGAGATGACAGAGTAGAACTGCCCCATAGGATTTCCAAGGCTGCAAATCTTCATAGAAGCCGACAGCTTCATCTTTCTCCTGTGCAGTGACTGGTGGGTTCAAACCACTCACCTTTTGGTTACCAGCCAAGTGCTTAAGCACAGCCCCAATAGGGCTCCTAGTTTTCTATTAGGCATACATGTAATTGCTTTACCTCAGATGGAAAACATTATACCAAACACACACACACACACACACACAACACACACCGACACAGCATGTACAGGCAAAATCAAGTAAGAATTCTATTAAGTTTTAGATCAAGTCATGCTCGTCCATCCATATATTTATCTAATTTAGTTGACCAAGTTGCTAACCAGCTGTAGCAAACAAATATTCAATGCCTCATGTATGTTCAATGTTTTCTTGCACATTTCTCTGTAACACAGTAGG